CCCAAGTTATATACTACCAAAATACAAATTATCAAATTTATTCAAAGTACCTTCTACTTTATTACTAATAAAGTTGAGTATATCTAAATTGAAATTGATTTGTACTTAAATTACTATTGAGTTCAATCGTTGAAATTTTCAAATTATGACCACAAGTTCTAACTTTTTAATTAGCTTAATAAAACACTATTAATGATAATGATAAATTATTAATTTTTAGTTCCTCATCATCTAGATTAAACATTACCAATTTTAAACGGGAACGTATGATCCGGATTCTCATAATTCGGGAAAAAAATGCACATCTTATATTTTTAGAGCATACATAATATTCATTAGACATAATATTTCACATATGTGAATTAAATAACTATCACTTAAATATAAATTCCATACCATTGCTACAAGTAGGATTCTTTATATCATCAAATATCTATCAAATCTAATTCATAATCATTAAAATGAAAACCAAAAAATACATACTACTCTTTTTTTAGGTTTGAATAATTTCAAACATTCAACAATATTCCCGTCCAATAAGTGAAATCAAATAATGTCTACAAGTACTATATTACTAATAAAGTGGAATAATCTCATTCTATACATACAAGGTTTGTTTCAGGGCTGTTATCCAATCAAGCTTTTTTCGATTTTTATACTCGAGTTTGAGCTTGATTTCGATTAATGACTTGAGCTTAACAAGCTTCGAACTCGAACACAGACTAGGTTTTGAGTTAGAATAGTTATTCAAGCGTAGTTCGAATGTAGTGATGTTTGGTTCAATCCGAACTTGAGCTTGTCGTTTACTTATACAGAGTAAATTATAGGAATAAATTATAGATATCATAAAATTTAAACGTTTTTAGAAAAATTATATAAATTTATTAATGTGTATTAAAGATTTGAGTTTTTATTGAATAATTCGAACATGAATCTATTAATGAGTATAATCTGAACTTCTATGTTCGAGCATGTTTATCAAGCGTTAAAATCAAACACCGAAAGTATATCGAGCTTAACTCGAGCTCAATTTCATAATAGCTAGGTAAATATGCATTTCATTTTCTTTCTTGACAATATATTCATCTTATTTACTATTAACCTACAAAATTATCAAACATATTTTTCTTGTAAATAATTTATTTGTAACTTTGAATATTTTTTTTAACTGTATTATCAATTGAATATCATAATCGAAAAAATGGAGTTCAATATCAGATCTGACTTAAGTAGCAATTTTTTACTCCATTACTAAAATGGCATTACTAAAATGTTATATCAATAAAGATAACTAAGAACTCTTGACATAAAATAAATATTTCATAATTCAAAAGTATGTCCAAATAATTTAAATTTTACATATTAAAGAGAAATTTTGATATATAAAAAGGATCACTAAAAACAACTGAATATCTTAAGATTTTAGAGGTGTTTACTCACCATAGTATTAAATAGAGCAGACTAAATGAAATTTATTTGTACTTATTTGTTGTTAAGTCCAATAACTTCAAATGACAATTTTTAATTATGCACATAAGTTTTAACTTATTAATATCCGAAATAAAATACAGACAATGCTAATGATAAATTTTTTAGTATTAAGATCATCATCATGATTAAACATAATTAATTTTAAAAATAATTCAGACCTCATATAATTATATTAACTAGATTATAATCATCTAGATTAAAAATCATGTCTCATTAACAGGGCGTTCTACATACATAATATTAAATATCATACAGAGTACATATATATTACTCTTTCTCAAACCTTTGATTTGAATATTGCCAAATGTTCAGAAATACCCTCATTCGGCAAATGTAAATAATATCGTTACAATATTAATAAAATTCATTTTTCAGTTAAAATTATTTTTTTACTAATTGAAAATCTTAAAATTATTTATATTCCCGAAAACCAAATTTTAATGATGTCATATTATTTTTAGCTTAGTAGCCATATTACTTCATGCGCAATGGTCAAAATGTAATTATTAGTTTCAAATTATATTTGGATTTTAGTGAACGTTAAAGATCATATACCCATAACCCCCGAATGAGTCGGGGAACCAGTTGAAATTAGTGAAAATCTGGTTGAAGCGATTGAATTGAAAAAAAAAAAAAAAATGATCAATGAGTCCGATAAGCCAAACGTGTCTGATCTATATCTCATTGTATTAACCTTAAATCTAGAAAATTTTAGAGCCCGTTTAGTAACATTGTTATTCAACTTATCAGGCTTATCAACCAACTTTTTTATCAAACACGTAACTTTTGATTTCACATGCTGAAATGTGTAATAATAAGAAAAAGTATGGTTGAGGTTACTTTTCTGGTTATTTTCGACTGAAGTTACTGTAGAGGGTCAGTTTGGCTATTTTTACATGTAATTTTTTCTTTATTTTATTAATAAAATATATTTTAAATTTAAATTTTTCATAAATTTGCAGAATCCGCCAATACAACCACTTAAGTCAGAATTTCATAAATTTCAGCAGGATCAGCCGATTTGGGTGTTACCAAACGGGCTCTTAATCTTTTCCCAAAATTTTTCCCCATGAATTTATTTGTTACTTTGGGAAAATTAATTTTTCATCATTTATATAACAACATTGTAAAATGAAGTTTGATATGAAATAGGAGTACTCAATTTTTTGCTTTGCTACTGGAAGTGTATATTAGTTTTAATGTGCAAGTATTCTACACATAAAAATATAAAACAAAGTAACAGACATGTTTTAGATCCAAAATATATAATGAATTAAAGGGGAATTTCATATAGCCAAGAGATGTTGTAAATAAAAAGAGATTGTCAAACGGTCACTAAATGTCTCCGAATTTTGAAGGTTTTTAGTCATCATTCTGAATTTCATACTAAACAAATAAAATAAAATTCCCTAAATAGAGGTAAAAATGTATATGAATCACAAAATATGAGTGTCATATTTTGAACTCCCTAAAATAGAGCAAATCTTGTTATGTTTTGGCGTTATCTGACTTTAAACTTCGCAATATTTCCAAACAAGACATTAATTACTCATATTTAGAGAATACAAATATAACTATAGTATTTTGGAATTCCAAAACGTTTCCCCTCCTTTTTTGAAAAATTTCTCAATAAATAATTGGTCTCTGTGGTGATTAAATCATATCATATGAAAGATAAAACTAATGATATTCATTTGAGGAATCGAGGCACATAAGTAGAGGCTGTTGGGCTCAACTTTTAAAATTTTAGAGTATTTTAATATATTAATGATCATTTTTAAATTTGTTATTTTTAGAAACAACTAGATCATACATAAATAGATCAAAGTGAATTAGATCAACGTCTTTAAACTAAAAGGACAAACACAGTCAAAGTGATTTTTAACGTGATGAAACATGTTCTGATGCGAAATGAATTAGTTCAAAGTCATCAAACTGAATCGACAAACACAGTCAAAGTGATTTTTAACGTGATGAAACACGTTACGATTCGACTTTCAAATATTATCATAAATGTATGAACCATTAGACCAACTAAATCAGTACTGATACAATATTTATTCAAAGTGAAGCGACAAACACAGTCAAAGTGATTGTTAACGTGATGGAACATGTTATGATAATATGATTCGAAATTCAAATATTATAAATGTATGAACTGTTAGATTAGCTTAATCGATATTGTGAAATACTGCATTTACTGCTTTATGACTTTCCAGATTCACAAGATCAGAAGAGACATACGTAATTATAAAATATAACATCATACGTTTAATAGTGCAATCGCCAACGCGGGGCAACACTCGGGTTAAACACGAGTTATTTTATGTATCTCAACAATTACCGGATATTCCATCCCATCATTTTTTTTAACAATTTCAAACTTACAATATAATTACCGCCCACTTTCTTTCATGGGAAAAATTGTAGTCTAAAAGTAACTAGAATGTGACCAGACCAGGGGTAAACAAAAGACTATTCCCGAACCATTACAAAATAGAATGTGACCGGAACAGATAAAGTATATGTCCCGTTCTGTCTCGTTTTTAAATAATAGTAATAGTATTTTTATTTCGGTAGCTCAACCTCTCACTAGTAACTACAAAATGTCAACCTGATAAGTGTTACTAATAATTTCTAACTCTCGTATGGGCCGCATTTATCGAAATATTTTGTTTTAAGAGGCAATCTGGAGGCCTAATACATGTAAACCTTTTATGAACTGTCTTCTATCACCAAAGGACTCAGAATTTTACTAAGGATTCACTTCCAATGCTACTCTAATCCTCTCTCGGGTTGTTGCACCGATAGAAGGATATAAGGACTCACTCACACAACGTCATTGTATCAACGATCAATTGAATCTGGGTGTACTACAGTTTGTTGTTCCAATGCTACTCTAATATAAGGAGTACTTCGTACAATACTAAAAATTTACATATACTTTTAAAAAGCAAATCCAAACACCTTCTATGTTTTGATTCGATATTCAAAATTTCTAATTTAGATTATTGATACAATGTGCTCCAATAGTGTTGTTTTGTTATACAATAGAAAAGCCCTTTCATTGACAAGTCACCTACATGGATATTTCCTGCTTTGCCAATCCTATAAAAGTTGGCTTTTCAATTGGGCCAAGCCTCCGAGCCCATCAAAATTTAGACCTTATCCGCTAGGATTCAAACCTCAGGACATTTTCGTCATTCCATTAAAAGTGGTGCCCTTACATTTCCCAACTAAATTACCACTCACGCCGATTCTGCTCCTGACGTGTTGCTTAACATTAATGACACGTGACGGCCTCTCCTCTGAGTGCCTTTGGAAATGACCAAAATGGGTCCTGAAGGGAAGACAATAAACTTTCAAATGGAATGGCAATCTAGAAAATAAATGCCGCAAGTGAGGGCGAACGATGCGAGTAAGACAACCGTAATTCCCAGATTGCCCCTGTGATGCACAAACGGTTCGCTCCGTCGTCTCTCCCTATAAGTACCTCCGTTTTGTGCCCCATTTCATCCCAGTTTGCTTTATCTCTTTTTAGCCACATCCAAACTTTCCTTCTCTTCCTCTATTTCTGTAATTTGTTTTTAGCAGCTAGACAGAGATGGCGGAGGAAGCTCAGAACGGCGGTGCGAAGAACGGAGCCGCTAAGGCTGTCACCTTCTCCGCTCTCAAGCCGCAGCTGTTCGTGGAAGGTGCCAAGGCAAACGACGCCGTGCAGTTCTACAAGACCGCGTTTGGTGCCGAGGAGGTCAGTCGTGTGATGAACACGAAGAGGAAGGCCGAGCAGGAAGTTCCTCTCATTCTCTACGCTGAGCTGAAGCTCGGTTCCACTGTTTTTCTCGTTTCTGACCTAACCGAGGACTCCTCTGCACCGTAAGTTCTTATGTACCTCCTCTGTGAATTTGTGTTTCTTTTCTCACTTAATCCATGAAATATATTTGTAGATCTGTGTATTTTGAAGCCGATTTATCGTTTATAATGTGTCTTACTCATTTTTTCCCTCAATCTGCCTTCAAATACAGTTGTTGCAACACATGCATATTAATCTGTCATGTAAGCGAATAAACATATAACACACCAAATTAGTTTCTGATGCTCGTAGAGTTTTTAATAAGAACATTTACTCAATCATGTGTCGCGAAGGTCTTTCGAGTATAAACAAGGTTTGAATGTCGTATCCATTTTGCCCATCTTCCTCCAGATTATAATGATGCTCTGCTAGTTTAATACGCAGTACCAAGTAAGGAGAAATGACTGATGTTGTTCTACATTCAAGGCGATTTTTCGTTTTGATATCTGTGTGTTAAATAACCATTTGGGAACTGACAAATGCTATTGATGTTATTTCAACAGGGCCAAGGCTGATGCTACTGCTGCCGTTTTTGCCTTGGAGACTGAGGACGTGGACACTGCGGTTGCTAATGCTGTTTCCGCCGGCGCTGTTGCTGAAGGTGAAATCTCTGAGGGTGAGGCCACTTGCTGCGGTGGTCGCGTTGGCAAGGTGAAGGACCCATACGGCAACCTTTGGTTCATCTGCTCCCCCGCTAAGAAGTCCGTAGAGACTGTTGAGGCTTGAAAGCCGTCGGATCTCATCTAATCACTATTACTGCATAACTATTTCATCTATTTGGGTCATGGTAGTTTAACCCGGTAATGGTTAGTGCTTATAATTACAGAGCAGTTATCTTTGTTTTGTGACTTAATGACGCCGTCAATGCTGTTACTCTTGGTAATTTTGACTAGCAACAATCGGATTCACTTTTGCTTAATCCCTATTTGAATCTGAGATTGTTTTGACATCTATGCTTTTTGAATGTTTGATTGTTTGTTTTAGTTTGGTCATTGTATTTACTCCTATGTGATACTCGGTATGGTGCGATCAATGTTGCGTCCTTAATTTCTGGAAGGTTTGAATTTTGAACTCTCGATTAAATTTCAAATGTTTTTCAAGGACTGACTTTTTGAATGCCCGTTTTTACGGCCGTCTAGATGGGCGTGATGGTAAAAGTTATACTCCCTCCGTCCCTAATAACTTTGCCAAGTTTGACCGGCACGGGGATTAATAAAGTAAAAACTGTGTGGTTGAGGTTTGTGTAGAGGAGAGAGAATTAACTGGAATCACAAATTCTTTACTTAAATGGGAAAGTGGCAAAGTTAATGGGACATCCAAAAAAGGAAAGTTGGCAAAGTTATAAGGGACGGAGGGAGTAATTGCTTGTACCTCGTGATTCGTGAATCGTTTCAAAGATCTTTTGATGATACGTTTCTTGGGGATGCAAGACCTTAATTGGGCAGTGTGAATGCAGTTACTTTATGTGATTTATTTATTTTTTTAGTACCGATCGTACTCATTTATCTTTATTTCATTGCTAAATTTGAATGCGGTCCCTTTTATTTTGTTTTATATTTCTTCTACGAGTTTAGCATAAAGGTAGGGACTAAAGTTTGTTTGGTTTTTGGTTTTGGGGACTGAAGTTACTTTGTTTTGGTTTTAGGGACTGAAGCGTATTTCTCCATCAAATTTCATTTGTATACATTTTAAACAATAAAAAGTATACGGGCTAAAGGGTTAAATACGTACATGAACTACCTTAAAAGTCTTCAATTAGCCTTTTATATAGGAGGTTCTGCCCAGGCATCGCTAATTGGGGCGGTTTTCTGGTGGAATTTTTTGATGAAATTTTTTGAGAATCTTTTTCATTAAGTCTCCTGATTTTCAATTAGGATGGCAGTCAAATGATTTGAGAATCTTCTTCAAATAATTTTTTGAAGATAACCGCGCAGTTAAGTAACGCAATATATTTCGGAAAATCATTTGATTACCTTCCTGGTTGAATTTTTAGCTGAAATTTGGTATGTGTAAATTAGATTTAATGAACAAAATGCTCAAAAAATTTCATCAAAAAAATCAACTGGGAACCTCCACAATTGGCGATGGCCGGCTGAACCTCCTATATAAGGGCTAATTGAACACTTTAAGTTAGTTCATGTACATATTTGACCCACGAAAGTATACATGCACAAGTGCACAAGTAGAGAATTACAAGAGACAAGATTATGCATTGCATGTATATGGCAAATAAAACGAATTAAATTAACTGATAGAACTGATAAATTAAAATTTAAGGATGTGTTTATTAAATCATATATTGAGCTCATCAATTTTATCCAACATTTTTTATCAAATACGTAATTTTTTATTTTGAATGCTCAAATGTATAATAATAAGAGTAAACTTGGTTAAAGTTACTCGTATAATTTTTCTTTATTTTATTAATAAAATATACTCCCTCCGTCTCGTAATTAAGTTCCTACTTTCCTTTTTGGAATGATTCATATTAAAGTTCCTACTTCAAACCTTTCCTTATTTGGCAAATGATTTACGTCAAAACAGTGTCAAACAGTGTCAAACAGTGTTCAAACAGTGCACTCCACAGTAAGGTGAAATTTATTTCTTAATATGTGTGGAGTCAAACTAGGAACTTAATTAAGAACCGGAGGGAGAATTTAAAATTTAACTTTTCATACTTCATCCAATTCAATTGGTTTAGTTAGGGGTGGACTCGGGCCGGGCGGCCCGACCCGGAACCGGCCCGGCCCGGCCCGGTTACTGTTTGGCCCGGTGGGTCCATCGGTTCGGTTTGGCCCGGCCCGGGTGATGGGTGGTCCGGGCTCAGGCCCTGCTTTAGGTGAACCGGCCCGGCCGGTTCGGGCCCGGTCCGGATTTTAATTTTTTTTTTGATTTTTTTTTAAGTTTTGGGTTGGATTAGACATTTTGGGCCATTTGAGGTGGTTTGGGCCCGGCCCGGTTTGGCCCGGAACCGGAATCGGAACCGGCCACCGGCGGTTCGGGCTCGGGCCCTAGTTTTCTGGCCCGAGGCCCAGCCGGGCCCAGGCCCGAACCGGGCCCGAACCGGCCCGAGTCCACCCCTAGGTTTAGTCAGTTTTTTACAAATTTTAATAGATTGAGCCGATCAAGCACATTACACTAGTGCTGCACATCGGGCGGGTTGGGTCGGGTTTGCTATATTTTTTGGGCCTACCCGATTTGTTCGAGTTGGCTATTAACCAACCCGCGTTACGCAAAATAAGTTGGTAAACTATGCATGGACGGGTCGGGTAGGGTCGGGATGGGGGTAAACATCACTTCGGATTGCATCTTTGATGTGGGAAATTAATGTAACCAATTTAAAACTCGATTAACTTGTTTCCAAAACACACACAAATACAAATACTCGTATCTTTTATAAGTAAAAACATTAGATAATAGTATTAAAACATCCTTCCGTAAAGGAAATTCATCTAGAACGACTAGAAGGAATCGTAAATATATAATAATCACCTCGTCAAAATGATAAATGTTTAATTATAATTTTAATATCATAAAGTCTTAGATAGAGCACATTGGTCTTAAATTGAAATTATCCAAGAAAACGTTGTAACATAGTAATAGTAAAATGAACTTCGGCCGGGTCGGGTATTATCGGGTTTGAGATTTTAATTCCGCAACCCTACCCATTAGGTGCGGGTTTAAACATATTTAACTCATGAATATTTTTAAAAATCAAATACTCGATTAAATAGGGTCGGGCAGGGTTGGGTCGGACGGGTTATGCGGGTTCGGGTTATTCTTGTGCAGGCCTACATTACACTGTTACCAAACGAACTCTAAATTTAACCGTACATTGATTACCGTATACAAATATAGTGCATAATGTTACGTTTTATAATTATTTTTATTTGTACACAATACACTTGTATATAATTGTTTTTGGGTACTATACGTATGAACGTTTTTATTGAAATGTGTGTTGTAGTTAATAATTCTGCAGCCCATTATTCTTGTGTTGGGCTTTGTTATGTTTACAGCCCATTTAATAAGTGACTAAGGTCCATTGTATGTTCTTGATGTTGTAGAACTGATATAACGGGTTGTTTTTGAATAACAGAAGGCAGTTGCCTCAAATTTCATATCTATCTCTTCTACGTTTATTCTGTTTCGCTCCAAGAAGTGGTATCAGAGCTTCAAGATCGGACTGTGGGAGATGGCGAACGGAAATTTGCCGATGTTGGACAGTAAGAATTTGGATGGGTATGAGTGTTGGTGTATCAAGATGAAGACAATCTTTGGATACCAGGAAGTTCTTGAAGTAGTTTTGAATGGGTGTCCGGAACTCCCTGCGAACGCGACTGAAGCACAGCGATATGCGAATCGCGATCTGAAGAAGAAAGACTACAAAGCTTTATTCTACATCCAACAGTGCATTGATGATGCCAATTTTGAGAAGATATCTGGAGCGAAAAGTGCAAAGGAAGCTTGGGATACTCTGTCACGTAGCTATGCCGGGGTGGAAAAATTGAAGATGGTTGGTATTCAAACTCTGAGGAGGCAGTATGAGTTAATTCAGATGGAGAATAACGAATCTATTGCTGCGTATTTCACTCGCGTGCAAACTTTGATCAACAATATGAAGACCTGTGGAGAAATTATAACTGAGAAGGCATTCGCAGAGAAGATTCTCAGAACCCTAAATAGCAAATATGATTTTCTAGCCAGTGCCATTGAGGAGACACGCAATCTTGATGAGATCAAGATTGAAGAGTTGCAAGGTTCTCTTGAACTCTTTGAACAAAGGGCCAAGGAACGCGACTCATGCGAGTCTACACAAACCACCTCTACTGATCAAGTGTTACTTGCTCAGTCTTCCAATAGAAGAGACGAGAAGGATAAGGGTGCTAGAGGAAGAGGACGTGGTAGAGGTAGGCATACCTCACGCGGTGGCCGAGGTCGTGGCAGAGAATTTCATGGAAATAAGCACGAGCAAGGTGAATCTTCCTCTAGAAGAGGTGGTGGTAATCGTGGCAGAAGCAACACATGGAGAGGAGGACGTGGTAATAATAGACAATAATATGATAAAAGTAATATACAATGTTATAATTGTGAGAAATATGGTCATTGTGCAAATGAGTGTTGGGGTAAATCAGCTCAGTTTGAGAGAGATCAGGAGACCCATGTTGCTAAGAATGAAGTATCTGAGGAGGATAATGTGTTGTTGATGGTAACACCTGAATCTAAATGCAAGGATGAATTAGTCAATGCCTGGTATTCAGACTCAGGAGGTTCAAATCATATGAGTTGCAGAAAAGAGTGGTTTGTGGAGCTGGATGAGAACATCAAGAATAAGATTACTTGTGCAAATCTTACCACTATTATGTCAGAATGAAAGGGGAAAGTACATGTCCAAAGAAAGGATGGGATAATTTCTATGATCTCAGATGTACTTTATGTTCCAAATCTGGGAGATAATCTGTTAAGTCTGGGTCAGTTAACTGAGAAGAATTTTGAGATAAAGCTGAAGGATAAATCCATGATGATTTACAATCCTGAGGGGAATCTGATACTTAAGGCTCCACTGAAGAAGAATAGAACATTTCAGGTTGAAATCACACCAATTCAAAGGGTATGTCTGTCAACTATGATTTCAGAAGATAATTGGCTTTGGCACTATAGGTTGGGGCACCTGAATTTCAAGAGTTTGGCTCAGCTTTCAAACCAAGGCATGGTGAATGGACTCCCAACAATCACAAGGACTAATCAGATCTGTGATGGCTGTATGGTTGGAAAACAGGCTAGAAATCCATTCAAGACATGGCTCCCTTCCAGAACCAGTACTGTCTTGGAATTGATATATTCAGATGTATGTGGTCCATTTGAAGTGGCATCTCTTGGAGGTAATAAATACTTTGTTTCCTTCATAGATGATTTTAGTAAGAAGATGTGGGTGTACTTACCAGAAAAGAAAGCACATGTGTTTGATACTTTTGTTAAGTTTAAACATCTAGTTGGGAAACAAACTGGGTGGAGTTTGAAAGTTTTGAGAACAGAGGTGGGGAGTATGTAAATGGAGATTTTGTTAAATTCTGTCAAGAGCAAGGGATTATACATGAAACCACACCTCCATACACTCCCCAGCATAATGAGGTGGCTGAAAGGAGGAATAGGTTTGTTCTTAATATGACTAGAAGTATGCTGAAAACGAAGAATTTGCCACATAAATTCTGGGGTGAAGCTGTAGCCACTGCAGTGTATATACTGAATATGTGTCCAACTAAGAGGCTGAAAAATGTTACACCTGAAGAGATGTGATCTGGGGAGAATCCCAATGTTAAACATCTGATGATATTTGGATCAGTTTGTTATAGACATATACCAGATGAAAGAAGGAGGAAACTAAGTGATAAAAGTGAAAAGTTGATCATGGTTGGATATCACCCTACTGGAGGCTATAGACTTTATGATCCAAATAATCACAAGACTATCATTAGCAGAGATGTAGTGGTGGATGAAGCTGGTCAGTAGAATTGGGATGTTTCTACACAAGAACCATCTGAAATGGACCTGGTAAAAGGAAGATTGGCTTCACTAGAGAGTGAGTCAGACTCTGAAGAACTTGGAATTGGGAATTCAAGTTATGAGGAAGCACAAATGTTGGGAAATACTGGCAGACCAACAAGG